CGAGGGTAGGCCCTTTTCAAATGTTACGCGAGAATACAGAATTAAATTCGAAAAAAAATGTGGCATGACTGCCTAAGGCACCCCCAATAGCTACGCCAACGGGGCTGATCGGTCAGACAGTTTCCAGATTTGTTTCACGATGTACCATTTCTAATAGTGATTTTTAAAAATGAGGGTGATGCATAGAGCAAGATTTAAAACGCCAGTTACACTATCCTCCTTGTGAATATATAGACGAGTGCACGGGTGAACTTTTGTTCATCTACTGAACAAAAATTGACACAACAGCGGGGTCCTGTTTACTAAACATGAACACATGAATAATGCTCGCGTAACATTTGAAACGGGCCTATCAACTTTTGTAAACAACTTGCTAGGTCCTTTTCACTAGAACCGAAGTACGCCTACGCAAACCAAGAGCACTATCGGGAAGGGGAGAATTTCTCCTACCCGATGGTGTTGTTAGTTTGCATGGGCGTATTCGGTTCGCGTAAAGAGGACTTAACAAGTTTTGTGTACAAAAGTTGATAGGCCCGTTTCAAATGTTATGCGAGTATTATTCATGTGTTCATTTTTAGTAAACAGGGCCCCGCTGTTGTGTCAATTTTTATTCAGCAGATGAACAAAAGTTCACCCGTGCACTCGTCTATTGACATGTGTAACGTCCGCTTTAGATGTATAGATGTTTAGATGTATGGGCAAATACAGCGCAGGATGCACACTATTTCTGAACAACCCAAATTTTAGTAGGATCTACTCACATCCACCAAAATTGAGTAAACAAAGTTGGGACTGACAAGATGCAGAATGAACACCTGAATCCTTAGGGCCCATGCATTAATTATGTCACGCTAAATATATTTGGTGAAAATGCTAGTAAAATCCAGTAGTAGTGTTGCCATGTGGTACACTGAAAAAATGCAATAGCAGGTTCGCCACCAAGTTTTCGAGCCGCTCCATCCGTCACTTCATTTGTGGTTCTACTACATAATTTTTCGATGTTTGGCCAGATACTAAAGCTACCGGCCAGGTCTTCAGGTCTTTTAAAAAATCTATAGCGCTTCGAAAGTTTCTTAGACCATTTTTCAACATCTTAGACATGGAAAACTTTCGAAAACATGGTTTATAGATAGATATCGGAAACATAGTTTATAACATAGTAACAACGAAAACGACATAATGACATGCTGTTAGACAACAGGCTCTCCCTTTCAATTTTCGTTAGAGAAAACGAGATAACAGGTGGTAACTCAACTACTTTAAGCTAGTACATATGAGTAGATAGTGTTTCCGTGTTGAGGTACACTCGAAAATTTCAAATGTAAGTGCGTCAAATCAAATTTCTAGCCGCTCCGTCTGTCACTTCGTTTGTGATTTTACGTTCAACTTCCTCTTTATAATTGTCCAATAGTTTTCAATGGGCCTGAACTGGAGACAATTGGGCGGATTGAGGGTTTTCGGAACAAACTGGACTCCGTTGTCATTGTACCATTGTTGTACTTCCCGGCTGTAGTGACAACTCGCAAGATCCGGCCAAAATGTCACCAAAATTCGCTGCTGGAGACATTCGGTTTTGTAATGCTCCGAGTTCATCATTTTCTCAGTGACGAAAACCTTTGTATTCTGACCGCAGCTGCAAATTCTCTGCCAGATCATATATTTTCGTGCGAATTTATCCGAAAAAAAAAACAAATTTGAATTTGCCAGGGACACCTCCTCGAGCCTTTGCCTTGTAAAATTTTGATCCTGGAAGCTGTCCGAAGTCGGCCTTTACATAGGTTTCATCATCCATAAGCATGCACTCATCGGATTTTGTCAGCAGGTTGTCATACAGCTTTCGAGCACAGGTTCTAGCTACGGTATTCGCTGCACTTACTACGGGCCGGATCATACTTTGTACTCAAATCCCGAGCGGACATACCTGGGTTGCTTCTGATGGAGCTCACGACGGAGCTGACGGTTGGAAGTTTCACTCTGGCGTTTACTTTGAGGCTTCCGAGTAGTCGTCAAGGTTTCCCTGTACATTTTGAGCTCGTGACATACGGTGTTTCTAGGAAAATTCAACACTTTAGCCAGCTTGGACGCGAACCACGATGGATTTTCCTGGTGACTGCGCACGATTTTTTGACGTTGGATAACGTCTTTCGGGGGTACAAAATTGAAAACAGTCATTTTGGATGCGTTACGAAAAATTAAAAGATTTTGAACGATAATAACTCAACCGTCTCTCGATAGATTTACGAGATAATGGCATCAATCGATTGGAAATATTTCTAGCAATTTGCTGAATGTTTCAAAACTATTGATTTAATTCTGTAAACTATTGAAAAATGGTTAAAAGTAAACCATTGTCTAAAGATGGTGAAAATCGATTGATTTTTTTTTATATTCTTATACTTTCTCCAACCGAGACATCAGATGCGAGTATCTGACACCTCTGATATTTTCTGTTCTACTATATAGTACAAGGTCGCCCGTTCCATCATTGTCAACAACATCAGCCCAACAAAACGGCCCTTTTCAGGGCCACCAAACTTTTGCAAAAGAATTATTAAGGAATATTCCTAAAATATAATATACACAATTAAGTACAACACATAACAGACGTTATCCAACGCCAACCCTGCTGTCATATCTAGTATACAACCCTTCCAACTTTTTTCTACGCTCCTCTTGCATGGTGACTGTCTCCAAAACAAGAGCGTTTTGTGAACTGAAAAATCCTGGTTATTGTTATTGCTGTTGTCAAAAAATAGACGTCAAAAGCTTCCGAAAACGTCCACTAGGAGCGCTGTAATAGGCAAAAGAATTTGTTCCATTACTTAGTGGGCCATGGTTTAAATCAAGGGGCAAGTCAGCTGTACTCAGAGCAAATAGTTTAGCAGCGAGTAGATTTGAGCAACACATAATTATTCAAAACTGATCAAATTAGTCTCGCTTTGTTCAGCATATACAAACCTTTAATGAAAAGTCGAAACAGATGTCATCTACCTACTCTAGATTTTATTTATTTGAGTTGAAATCATGCATTTGATAAATTTAGTAACCGATAAAATTGTAGGAGATCACGTGCAGGACGGCTCATATCTGGTATAGTGATCCGTGCTATGTGACATCGATCCGCATTAATCGTCAAGATATCGTAGACAGCGATATGATTCTTATGAAAACACAGGATTTATCGTAGCTAAAGCATTTTTATAGGCGATGACAGAGTGAACCTCAGCTGGTGTATTAGTTTCTGTGTGGATGCACAACCAGAGCGTATAAACCATACTATATCTACTGAAATCTTATATCAAAGGGCTGGTTACCACCATTGATACGACAGGAAGACGTATGCGGCGAGAAAGTTCCTTATATCTAGAAAGTAATAATTGGGAAGGAATGTTATTTGATCGTAAAAATGATCAGAACAAGACCGGGGACGTCATCAAAATAGGTGGCAGTTGGGGACAATCTTAGCCCTTCTTAATGACATCATGACGTTTCTGTTCCTCCTGCATATAAGCTTCGTGCCGATGTTCCTAGTACTTGTGGATGCTACTTCTCAAAGTTGTCAAATGATGCGATGAATAGCAGTTTATGAGCTGACGATGTTGGCAATGACACTATCCGCTCTTGAGCTTAAACGCAGTGAATTCCAAAAGGAATTCCGGAGAATTCCAGGAGAGCTCAGTGTTAAACTTTCCCTGTTAGCTTGAACAATAGTTTCAGGCAATTTCATTTTCAATAGCTGGACAGCCTTGTTGGTGGATGCCATCATGCTACTCATGGAAATTCAGCAAAATGCTAAATACTGGGAGAAGGAAAAACAAACGGCGCCGCAAGCCGCAATCTCAAAACAGCTACAATTTTTTCTGCAAATATATCCATCCGATCGGTGATGGTATCCGTTAACTCAAGCCTGGTGGTCGTCTTGAATCATCGTTACAATCCGTGCATCCTGTAACACCGGTCAGAATTATACAATTCAGCAAGTCCAGCATCACTAGTATCTCATCTGCAAGAACTTCAGCGGCAGTTTTCAGTTGCGTAAAAAATATGTCAGTCGGTTTCAGCCCACCGATGGTGACATATTGCAACACAAAAATCAGGTTGCTATGTGTATTTGATGTTGACCAACGCGAGTTACTCAGAGCGGCTCAGAGCTGCTCAACATTAACTCCGATTTTACTCATGATCAAAAGCTGTCTTGCCCCTTGGTTTATGTCTTACAATGTGGGGAGTTGAAAATCCCAGAAAAAAGTGCTTGCGTAATTATTGAATGGCCCCATAGACGGCACCAAAATTCCAACTGTTTACTCAGACATTTGGGAGGCTTGCAATGTTCGATAAAACTGTAAATCTTAAAAAAAAAAATAAACAGATCTTCTGAAGACGTCGGCAATCCAAAGCCTACTATTTCCAAGGCATTTGGAAAGCAATAAAAACGTATATTTTTGTATCCTGTATTTTTGTTTTTAAATTTGATTTCTTACTTTTCATTTTTAATCTTCACATTTATAAATGTTTCACTCCCCATTTTTTTTAGCCTGCATGCTTTTGTATCTTTGTAAATTTTCCAACCGTAAAACAACAAAAAGACGAGGTTATGATTGTACACGTGCGCCCATCTGTTGACTTGTGCAAATTTTATGCTAAACAAAATCTTCAGCTTAGCCGTGCATTCCGTGCGCGATACGTGCGTGCGTGTCCCACCAAGTGAGTCGTGAATCATGGCGAGCTCATATTCTTTCTGCTCTCTCCTTCTCTCGGACTCCGTCAGAGGAGTACTTTTCCGACCAGTTTTCCACCAGTCAGACTCACGAACATTGTGCACTTTTTTCCGTTCGATTGATGAGCACTGAGTGCTTGAGTACTCTGCTTTCCTCCCTTCTGTCAGCCGTCAGAGTGGCGTGAGTGAGTGCGTGCTTGGTGGGTGGGTACCTCCGATCAAAACGGAAAGCAAAAGTGCATAAATATCTATATGTTTGCAAATCGCTGAAATCCACCACCAGCAGCAGCAGCAGCAGCAGCAGGACAGGATAGTCACCAGCACCAGAGCCGTGTGTCAGTCAGCGAGTCAGTAACAGAAGAGGAGGCCGTGAGAAAAAGAGAAAGCGCCGAGAACGTCGCCTTCTTCGTCGTCGTCGTCGCCCGATTTGACGGTGAATGTGGATGAGTGTGCAAATATCTATCAGTAGTGATATCTGGTGAAGAGGCGATACACAGTTATTGTGCTCTCGGGAGGGAAAAAAGATCCAAGCAAGCCGAGGAAAATAGTGGCTCCTCTGTTACTTTTGTGGAAAAACCAAAGTGCAAGGTGTTTGAGAAATTTTTTTCTGGTGAAACCCTAATCGCCATATCTGGAAAACCGAGTATTTTTCGATTGCGAGTGCCGTGAAAAGACCCTGGTGGAAAAAAAGGACAGTGGACGACTGAGTTCGGGTTAGAAGAAAATTTCAAGTGGAAAATTCACAAGGTGGCAGAAAAATCGGCTCCGGAGTAGCAGCAAACTGTAGCAGCCGTGAACCCATCAGCAAAGGTATGTTAGACAATTTAATTTTTCCTCTGGTGAATGCGGGCAAATTTTCCCCGATGGAAATTCTACAGGTATCTGCACCGATGGAGTGGGATTCCCGGAACGGAAAATCAATCCATGGCTTGCGGAGATCCCAAAATCAGATCTCAAATATCAATTTAGATTTTCTTCCTTCGATAGACGAGTTTCCCCTCCTGCCCAATTCGGCCCCCACACCCATGCGTCCCGAAACCCCTTTTCGAATCCCCGGGTCCCTTCACCATCATCTGGGGGGCTGGCTGTGCCGATCCGATGGCCTGTCGTCTTTTCTTGTGGGGTAAAATTATTACGACCCAATTTTTCTCTTTTTTACTCATTCGCTCGCTCTCGCTCCGTCTTTCTGTCCTCATCATCCTAGCAGACCCCGAGTTTGTATGTTAATATTGACTGTTATTTTTGTACAAGTAATAGGGGCCAGTGCGCAGCCACCGGACGGTGGGCCTGCGCAGTTGGTGACGACGGGATTTTCACACTGCTGCTGGCCGCCGCCGCCGCCGCCGTTGTTGCCGCGCCGCCGTGTGTGCGACAACAACAGCAGCAGCAAAAACAACATATTTTCCTCCGAAAACGGAAGAGAACTTGACAAAAGCGAAAATATTCTGTTTATGAACTACCCAACAACTCTGCTGCTACTGCTGGTGCACTCTGTTGCGAGCGAGAGAGAAGCTTTTCTTCGGAGTGCAGGCAGAGTGCTCATCAGAGAGCGGGTGCATGGATGAGAAAGAGAGTCGTCGCCGCGGTCATACAGGGTAGGGTTTCGCGCTCCGGAAAATCATGGTTGGTAAACAACGCCTGGTTTTTCTTTTACGCTCTTTGAGCTACCATGCGTCTCCACCGTGTCGCTCGGTGAGTGGCTGGTTTAGAAGAAGAAGAGAGAACGAGAGAGAGAGAGAGAAGCTGCAGTTTTATTGGGCGATGTCATGTTGGAAGCTTTGGATTGCTTCTTTCGGGTTTTTTTTTATTGTGATTGCAGACGATGACGGATTGAAAATACATTCTGTTTATCCTTATTATAAATGGAGCGAGTAAGTTTGTACTACTTACTGAAATTGTTGTGAATTGCTTGAATTCCATCCTAAGAAAAAAAGAAACTATCGAACGACTTTAACAAATTTTTGTTGATGCATTTATTTTCATTATATTTGTATTGTTTGGTACGAAACAGCCAAACAATCGAACAACGCCTATTCGGCCGTATGGATAAAGGGAGCTAAGTAAACTCTTCCGTGCTCTTCATGCGAGGAAAGCATTATTCATACGGTCCATTGTGTTTTAATTGGCAGTGTTGCCAGGCACCACTTGGCTAAACGTATTCGCCGCTCTTTTGTGATCCACCCTGAATCCGATCAGAGGTTCAGTTTTTTTTTAATTTTATTTTAAGGGATAAAGTTAGGATTTAGTCAACGATTGAGATTACAAGATCTCTTCTATGTTAATATTTTGGACTTTTCGATAAAAACCGACTTTAGAAAAAGTTTTTTTTATATATAATTGAGAACTTAATATATTCATCGAGATTTCAGAATTATCAAAAACTTGCAAACTCTCAAAAACTGAGAAGATCTTGGATAAGAAAAGTAAAAAAAAAAGATCATGGCTGTCTATAATGTCACACATACGTGTTGTCAATTTTCCTATATCTGTGATAACTTTTGTAGACTGCTCAAATTCAACATTCAAATGTATGTACATTTTCAAAACCACATAAATCCTAGTAGTAATTCTGAGATTGAACTATTGAAAATGTTAAGCGATTCACAAGTTCCATTACATTTGTGAGGTTTGCCATTTTCGAGCATTTTTCTTGTCCTCTTGAACCTTAGATTAAATGCTGTGAAGGATTGACTTGCAGCTCTCTTCTTATATTTGTATTGAATACTTGGTTAAAAAGTTCAAATCATGTTTTATAGTACTTTTTCAGCAAATACAAATATGAAGAAACTATAAAACATATAAAACTGTCATACTCAAACAAGAGCGGCAAGATAATCTTTCACAGATTCATAGATCTTGATCTATGCTTCGAGAAGACTAGTAGACTTTGTACTTGCCCCTTTATCCCCCGCATGAAATAGAAAAAAAAGTTAAAATTTGCTATAACATAACTCACCCCAATGGGTCTGGGTTCAATCCCAGCCGAAGTCAGTGGGATTTTTCTGAGGCATCACGTTTTCCTTCGGAAGGGAAGTAAAACCGTTGGTCCCGGCCCATGTGTGTTTAAATGGGTGCGATATCCTACGCAGGTGCGCAGCTGCACATTCGATTACCGTCAATGGATGGCAATCGATGTCCGTCGGTGACTGGCAGTAGATTGTGGAACAGAGACCAACGTTAACTAAAGGAATGATGGAAAGCCAACAGCCAACGTGGAATAATGTCTTCTTGTAGTCTCCGCCGGCGTTTCCTGGCAACTCACATATTTCAACAATCAAGTAGACTGGGACATAGGTACCAACAGACTCGCCGTAGTTGCCCTTGCTGAGCACATTATGGATGCAACCGACGGGAAACTGCAGTCGAGCGAGACTTCTTCTTTCCCTCTTTGGTGGTACAGTAGAGTTGTTGAGCTCAGGCGATCCCTTCGCCGCGCGGTTCTATGCCAGAAGCAGCCAACTAGAGTGGGGCACCGTTCGCCATCGCCGCGCGAGCCAATGCAAGAATAAGCGCGACACCGACACCGCTCGCTTATATAGTGGTTGACTGCAGTCAGTCATGGCCAAAAATGGTTCGTTCAGTATATCAATCTAGCTCGGTAAAATCAACAACAGCCGAATACTTCGGCATTTACTTTTGCTTATATCTCTGCAAAATATCTGTTGGTTAGCTGAGATCTCTGCAAAAATCTAATTTGTTAGCTGAGTCTCAGCGATTGTTTTACTGAATCTCAGCAAAATAAATTGTGTGTAGGAATGCATGCTCGTTATTGATTGATTCTTTGATTTACATGATTTTTTAGGCGATGCTTGACGTTCACTATTTTTTCCAAAGTATGTTGTTGAAAACCAATAGTTTTTCTTATTGAAATCAATACTCAGAGAAAATTCAGATCGATTGATGCAAAAGTATTGGAAATGTATCATGAAATAGCCAAGTTATAATCGTTCAAAACCTGACCACTTTTCGTTACATGTTCATTTCTCGTACTCGCAAAATGTAACCATGTATAGAAAACAAAGACGTAGTCCTACATCAAAATGGCTTTAATCGAAAAAATGGCATCATGATGCTGAAATGGCCTTTAAAAGCGTCCAGACAATTTTCAACATAATCTTTGAAACGCCAAAATTACATTTAAAACGTCAGAACACCAAAAATAGCCACACAGTTTATAAATATCAAAATGGATTAAAAACAATAAAACAACTCTTACACTAATCTTGAAAACGACAACGCTAATAAGAATCTTAAAACGTCAAAATAGTCAACATAATATTACATAATGACCATGAAGCCGCACAAATGACCTGAAATCAAATGATAGAACAACCCTAAAAACGCTAAAAGATCCTTAAAAACGCTCAAATAACCCATTATTCTCCAAAACGGCATTGAAAAATTCTTAATTATTTTGAAACGGTTACTTTTTTTTATTGGTTATTGCGTGATAATGTTTGCACCATTGAGCATTGTCAAAATTAAAAAAAAATCTCAAAAATTTCGTTTTCGTGTTTTTTTATTAATTTAAAGGGGGATGTTTCTCAGAGTCTTGAACTATGTTAATCATCGATTGAGTTTCCACTTGCTGCAATTACGGCCTCCACACGCTTCCGGAATGCACGACAGGTTCTAATAATGTAGTCTGGATCCATTTATCTCTAGGTACGGGTCAACGTTTATCTGATGCTTGCTGTACTAGGGTGGTGTTTAGAACAGGCCTTGGCCTTCATGACGTGCCATATTGAGTAATCCAGCGGATTAAGATCGGGGGTGGATGGTGGCCACATATCCTTCGCCCAGAACGGAAGATGTTCCTGCAACCACTTCTGAGTGCAGTTCGAGGTGTGGCACGGAGCCCCATCTTGTTGAAATACAACATTTGGCTTCGAACCGTACTGTTCTTTGATCCACGAAAGAACATACTTACTTAAAATCCCGATGTAGACCTCCGTGTTGACCTTGTCGCCTTCTGGAATGAACACCGGGTCCATTTTTTTGCCATCGGAAGCCACCAAACCAAACACCATAACGCTAGCAGGATGCTTGGTCAGATACACGTTCTTGTGCTCGTAGGCCACGTCTTTTACCGGAAGAGAACTAATATAGCGGTCGGTTCTGGAATTTGATACGGGATCGACGGTAAGCATGCTCTCTTCGGTGAACAGGATTACCGGATTTTTTCGCTTAAGGAAGTTCAAGATTTTCTTGCATCGTTCGACTCGTAGCTCCCGGATGCGGTTGGTAATCATGTGGGTTTTTTCCGTTCCCTCGACTTCGCCCCGCAATCTTCTTTTACGATCTTCCGTGCCGTAAAGTCACTGATCCCGTGTTCCTTTGCCATTTTCCTTATTGAACGCACTGGATTCACCCGAATCTTCCTTTTTATAGCAGCGATAACCCTCGGAACCCAAGCTGACCTCGGACGACCTGTGGCCACCTTCGCGGATAGTTTCTCTTTCTTTTCTCGGTCTAAAACCCTTTTGACGGTCCACCGGGACACTCCCACGGCGATTGAAATATCTTTTTGCGACATTTGCGCGTGGGAAAAATCACGAATACGCTGCCACTTCGTCATGCTGCAACTGTCAAACTAAGTAAATCATTTTCTTTTATACACAGCCTACTACGGTATGAGTTATAGGTTACGTGCACAGGGGAAACGGGAACCTTATTTGTACGATGGTGCAAAAATTATCACGCATACGGTACATGCTGTCTAAATCTCTGCGACCTAAATGAGGGCAGGCCGTGATCCACCGGTGCGTCGCGACCCATAGATTGAGAAACGTTTGCTTAAAAGATAGGTC